CGCCAGCCCCATGCACTCGTGTCCCGCTAGGCAGGATGGGCGCCTGTCCCCCGCCCGGTGCCTGTTGGCTCCCTCCTGCTCCTGGGTGCATCCCAGGGCGTGGGTTCGGGATGCGCCTGGGCTGCATCCCCCTCCCAGGGGCTGCTTGATAACTGTTTGGCAGCCAATGAGCAGGGGGGTTGGGAGCGGGTGATAGCAGTGTGCGTGTGGGGGGGTCCGCTCCTGCTCTCCGCGCTTCTCCGGCGGCTCCTGGCCAGGCCACCCAGGAGTGGGGAGCGTTGCCGTCGGGGGGGCTCCCGGCGGCACCGTGCTCTGTGCCTGCATCCGCTTCCCTCTTTTCTCACGGACTTTCTCCTCGTGTCCCCTCGCAGACTGGCGGGTCGGGCCACGCTAAAACGGCCCCCAAGATGAGCTCGTCGTCGCTGCTGGCCGAGGGCCCCATTGAGCCACCCGTGCTGCTCTCAGACATCAAAACAGAGCCCCCGGAGGAGCTGCTGGCCAGCGACTGCAGCCAGCCACAAGCCGAACCCGTGGACCTGTCGCTCCCCTGTGCCCCCCGTCTCGGTGCAGTCCTCGCCCATGCTGGTGGCTCCCCCCATCCCGGCGCCCACCGTGTCCATCTCGCCCTCGGGCCTGAGCTCCACCTCCGCCATCCCGGCTGTCCTGTCTCCCGGCTCCATCCTGGCGTCCACGCAGGGCAGCGGCGGGCAGCAGATCCTCCACGTCATCCACACCATCCCCTCCGTCAACCTGCCCAGCAAGATGGGCAATCTACAGACTATCCCCGTGGTGGTGCAGTCCCTGCCCGTGGTCTACACCACCATGCCCACGGACGGTGTCACCGCCATCACCGTCCCGCTCATCGGGGGCGATGGCAAGAACGCTGGCTCTGGTAAGACACAACGGGCACTTTGGAGGCCCTGCTTGTCGTGCAGCGCGTTGGGTGGCATGGGGAGGTGTGGAGCACCTGGGGGATCTGGGCTCCAGGCATGGAGGTGGGTGAAGAGTGTGGCAGGTCTTGCCTTGAGTGAGCAGAGGAGACCCCCAGGTCTGTCCCTGCATCCCTGTGTGCCAGGGCCAACTTGGCAGTGCCGCAGGGAGGACTGGTGCTGCCTGCCCGCTGGCCCTGCTGCTCTTGCAGGGACCCCATCCTTCCCCCTTCGGAGCAGCTCCAGTCGCAGCAGAACTGGCTCCCTCTGTTCCCAATCTCCTTCCCTCTCCCCTAGGACAATTCCAGCTTCCTGCCATGGCAAGTCCCCTTATCAGGGGGCCTGGCCTGGATCTCTGCTCCTCTGGGAATGGGGTGGCAGAGGATGGGTGGGCAGCTGCAGGGAGGCAGCCCCCAGCAGTGGGTGAGTGAAGGTGCCCTGGGCCGTAGGGCAGAGCTGCTACCCCAAATGCTCTTGTCCTGCCCTCATGGGGGCCAGCCTGCGGGCAGCGCCCTGAGCTGTGCTCGCTCCAAGGGTTTTTCCCCTGCACTGCTGGGGTACCCCGCTCCGTGGCCTGATGACATGGGGACGTCTCCAGCACACCTGCAGGCAGGGCACCTCCCTTGTCTGCAGCCTGATTTTATTTGTCTTTTGGCTGGGGCTGTGGGGGGAACCAGCTGTCTGCAGGGCCCTACGGAGCGGGGCCATGGGCTGTGCGGTGAGTGCTGGGGCTTGGGAATGGTTGTGCCTGACTTGCAGCCCTCACCCCCATCTACTCTCGTTTCTCAAAGGCTTTTCTTTCCCCTCCGCACCCCCAGTGAAAATTGACCCTGGCTCCATGTACCCCATGGACATGAACAGCGACAGCGAGGACAGCGTGTCGGAGAGCGGCCCGGCGCCCTTTCAGGACCTGCAGCGAGAGTGAGTGCACGAAGGGTCGCAGGGTGGTGGCGGTGGCTGCGTCCCCTTCCCAGGCCCTGCGTCCCAGGCCGGGACGCGTGTCCATGCCCTCCCTCCCTCCGCTGCGCAGGTCGGCCGTGGCGCGGATGCAGCGGGCGGACTCTCCGGACCTGAAGAAGCGGCGCATCCACCAGTGCGACTTCGAGGGCTGCAACAAGGTCTACACCAAGAGCTCCCACCTCAAGGCCCACCGGCGGATACACACAGGTACGGGTGAGTGAGCGCCGCCGCAGGGCGCCCCGCTGCCCCCTGCTTCACCCGCTGCCAGGGTCCCCTTATCCAGCGGGAGGCACGGAGCCCTGCTTGGCTGGGGGACACCCTTGGGGTGCCACTTAGTGCCGCTGGCCACTAGATGGCAATGATGCTCCGTGGCCTGGGTTGTCGCTGGGATCACACTTGGGGGAAGCGGGGTGCCCGAGGGGGCTTTGCTGGTCTCGTGTCTGCCCTTGGGGAGGAATTCCGGGGTCCCCCTGTCCCAGGCCTTGGGCTGGGGTCCCTCTGCCCTTCTCCTGGGTGTCCCGAGTTGAGGGCTGCACCATAGGGTAGGGGGCACCAGGGGTGGCCCTGTTCCTGCCCCCAGCACCAGAGCCCAGGACCTGGGTGCGGGATGGGACCGCGGGGGGTGTTGGGGACAGGGCCAGAGCGCCCTTCGCACACGTGGCTAAAGACACCGGGTGTCACCGCGCCTGGGACTACCGTAATTCACCTGAGGCATCGCGCACCGCTTGCCCCGAGGTGCTGCCGTGGTGATCCTAATAGAGGCTCCACCTACCCGGCATGCTACCGTAGTGCGTCTCATAGACGAGACGCCAGGGGGCAGCAGGTGCGTGATACCGGAGTGCACCTAATACTGCCCCCGACATTGGCACTGTTTCCAGGGCCCGGCGGGGCCCTGCTGAGATGAGCCTAGTGTGGGCAGCCCTGGCACTGCCGAGCCCCGTGTGCTGCCCACCACGACGGGGAGAGCTGGGCAACCCTCGTGTGCCTAGTGGGCATCGTGCTTGATGCAGGGTGAGATGCTGTATTACTCCCCAAAGCAGCACTTGTCCACCTGGGGGCACTACAGGAACATGATGAATTGGTGTAAGCGCCTACAGAAGCCTCGCTTCAGCACTTGTGTTGTCGTGGTTGCCTTAATACACCTACTGCACGCCGTTACCCTTTGTGAGGCTTGTGGCTGTATGTTCAGTGCCCCGCTGAGCTCGTGTGTTGCGTGTCCCTTGTGGTGCTCACCACTCCTCTCTGCTCCCCTCCGTGCAGGCGAGAAGCCCTACAAGTGCACCTGGGAAGGCTGCACCTGGAAGTTCGCCCGCTCCGACGAGCTCACCCGGCATTTCCGCAAGCACACGGGCATCAAGCCCTTCCGCTGCTCGGACTGTGACCGCAGCTTCTCCCGCTCCGACCACCTGGCCCTGCACCGCCGGCGGCACATCATGATGTGAGGAGCGAGGCCCCAAGGCGTGCGGCTTGGGACAGGGAGGTGCTCCCCATGGCTCCGCATGCAGCACGAGGACTGCAGGACATGGGAGCAAGCGAGGCCTCCGGTGATGTGGCCACTGGGGCTACCCATGTCTCCAGGAGCGGAGCCGTCCCCTCCACAGGTGCAAGATGTAAAGAAAAAAAAGATGGTTTCCAGATTCATCCTCCTCTCTTGCTCCTGTTTCTTCCTCTTCCTGGACTTCTCCTCCCTCCTTTCAACACCTGGAGGCCCCTCCTCAATTTCCCATCCTGGATTCCTCCAGCAGCTGCCTCTGGACTTCAGCCCAGCAACGTGTGCACTTGGAGATGCACGCGTGTGCTTACGGCTCTTTCCCACACGCAAAGCTGCTCCGCTGTCATTCCTCCATGGATATACCCTTGCTCGGCTGGCAAAACGATGGAGACCTGGCGGGGTCGGCGGAGGCATGGCAGGATGTGGGACTGGCCCCATGCCGTAGCCCTTTGCCCGTGGTACGCTCAGAAAGACGCTGGCTCCCCTTTCCCAGCCCTTGCTGCTGCCTCCCTGCGTGTCCCCCTTCCCTGCCTCATCCCAAGCCACCTGGACGCCCGGGAGAAGGGGCTCCTGGCACCTCCTTCTGCATCCCTGTGCCCGCAGCAGCCTTCGCAGCCCACACTGAGGGCGGCCAGGAGGGCTGAGGAAGAGGAGAAAAAGCAAGAAGGAGCGAAAAAAGACAACAAAAAACCCACCAACAAAAAAAGGGAAACTTTGCGGAACATGGAACTGTGATTTTAATGAATTTTAAGGGGCGGGGGGGGTGGGAAAGGGAGGGCAGGGGTGGCCAGGTCTCAGTTTTTGAAGACTCTGGGCAGAAGAACCATTTCTAACTTAAAAAGACAGCAGCCTTGATACAGCCTGTGGCCTGGCGCTTTTCTTTTTAAGGGTAATTATGATGATTTTGGGGGGGCGGTCCCCTCCCGGC